ACGTCACCCCAGCCCACCCCCTTTATTTTTTTTATAACTTAAAAACCAAGGTTATACAAATGGGGAGAATGGTCATACAAATGCATACAAATGGCGTACTAAAGGTTGCGTATGAAAAACCATCAATATTACATATGCGGTGGGCTGGTGAGACGTACGTGGGGCAGCCAGCTTGGAGTATGCTGCCACCGCAGACACGCCTAGCTATGTTCGAGACAATGAACCTGTCACAAAATTAAATATAAATACATCATTTAAATTATCAAAATCACATAAAAATTGAAATAACACAAATCTAAAGCACATTAACCACTTAAGAAGCTAAGTTTTCAAGCGCCACAAAAAAATAAAATTTCATCAAAATCCTAACCCACTTATCTTTCATAATAATAATAATATTCACGATTCCCGTGGCAGGTTGTCGCTTGTAAAAATCAATATCGTTAATCAATTTTATCTAATCACATTGACCACTAATTTTTATTTTTAAAATATTTTATAGCTCAAATGTGTTCATAACGTTCATATTAATTTACATTTTAATATTTCATTTGCTGTAATAAGGCGGATAAAGAATTGGACTAGAAATACCATGATAAATGATAGGTTCATAAACTTGTCAATACTTGTCAGATTGAAAGAGATTTATCACATACAATAGAATAGAAAAACGTTCTCAATATTTTTTCAGAAAAACAAATTTAATTTAAGTTTAGTTAAGTAATTATCTAAGTTTGATTTAATAATTAAATTTTAATTGTTTTATGTTTTCTGTATTGTAAAATAAAATGTCAGGTTAAGAAGGAGTCAAATATAAATTGGTTTTTTAGAAAATGTTCTCTTTCCCTTCAATTCAAGTTAAACATAAGGAGTTTTTGGAATACACTTTTCTAGTCCTATATATATCCCCCACAGATAATTATAAAAAATTCCACCCATGAGTACATTATATTGTACATAATAATATAATATGTAATATTGTAATGTATATTATGCGCTATACGAGCATATAATTTAAGAAATAAAACGTATTATAGTTTAGAAAATAATTTAATTCCTCATTGTTGATTCAATATACACTAAATGTTTTCATATAATTATACAATATTTTTATGTATTTAAAACATTATAAATTTCATTATATAAAATGCACATCATGGCCATCCAAAATTAAGTATTATTTTAAACAATTAGTTAAAGTTCTTTAAACGTTTTCTAATAATTAAAACTAAAATTTTGTAAATTTGACAAATTAAAAATTAATAATGAATTAATTTAATAACATATTGCAGTCATCTTCCTCTTAAACCACTATTTGGCCTTCATCATTGGTAATAATTAGTTCACGTTCAAAAATTTGAATGCATTTGTCTCTAAAATAGGAACAAAATGCAAATAACGGTCCTGCGTCCCCGCCTCCACCTGCAAAATACATTGGTACTATATTTGTTGATTGAGTGCATTAGATTGCCTTTCCAAAAATTCGTAGAACTCTATTGCATATTTACGTATAAATAAATAAAAATGTTGGCCTCAAACCAAGTAATATTTTATTCAAAACAAACAAATTAATTATAATCATTTATAGTATGGGAGTATTGGAATTTTCTATTGTTATAAACTAAAAAAATACCTTTTAAAATGTAATGATTTTAATAAGCTTTACGAATACATTTTACAGGCACTGAATAATGTTATCAACATGCATTTTGAAAACACAAAAAAAAATCAAAAATATAAAATGCCTAACATACTGAACTCACCAATAATTGGCAATTAATACCCGACCCCCGGGATAATCGAATAACCTGTTATTTTAACGCTATTTACTTGAGCTGGAACAACTTGAAGGTTATTATCGCCCAGTATTTTTTGTACTTGGTAATATAATTTACTGATGTTCAATTAACGATACGTCGGATTTGGCAAAGCATTTCCTGGATCTCTGTACTAGTCAGTCGCTTACTTAAGCAGGGAAAGTAACACTTATGTGAATTACTTTTTTTTATTCAATATAATCATGAATTTTAATATTATTCCAACACCAATTTTTAAGTGAACATTTTTTAAGGGGGTGTATAAAGCAATAGGAAGTGACCTTAATATTTATTTATTTAAACAAAAAATAAAAAAATCAATAGAAATGTGTGTGTTTTGCCGGTTTTTCTTGCTCTCTATAAAGAAGTTTTACTTAATACTACGTACTCTAAATGTGCAGTTTTTTTTATTTAATTATCAGTCATGACATTGACTATAACAGTACATAATTTATATTATAATACATTATCAATTTTAATTCACATGAATTATACTTACGGACTGGGATAAATGCTTTGTATGCATCTCTAAATTCTGTAAAAGTATAAACTTCATTGTAACAGTTTCTTATTGTTTTCGCTAGGTATTATTATATGTCTATATCATATAAGTAAGTAACTCTGAAGGTTAAAATGTAAAATATTCGATAGATCTAACAAATTTTTCTCCAAGTGAAATATTTTAGTTGATTTTCAACATTTACTCAAAGAACACAGGGTTTATCCTACTTATGCCACTGTACAACGTCATAAATTTTTTAGTAATTATACATCGATAACTCTTTAATGAACAAAATATGAAAAAATGGGTGTTTCTATACTTCAACAACAAACTAAACATTTTAGTAACATTGACAGGTGGTAACATTTTTACAGAATTGAGAATTTCTATGCAAATATCCACAAAATAGCTACCCAAATATTAAACACATAGTTAGCATGATATTAAATGACATTATTGGACGCAAGGAATCTGATTTTGCATTTCGACTTTTGCACCACTAAATTGAAATTCGAAAATTTAAAACCATAAGAGTATTTAAAAGAATATTTGAAGAATTTATAGTGTTGAAATACAGCTCAATGGTTATACTTATATTTTACATATAATTAAATTAAATATTATATATACGTACTTCCCGCTGTTTCAGCTTAAATATTAATAATAATAATTTGTAATTAAGATGGTATTATGTTAAATGGAACCTATGTTAAACAGGGGCGTCATTTCAACTTTTCAATAGGGATGCAAACATTTGAATCAGGCCAATTGTTCCCTCCACCAGGCCATTTATATATCTTGTTTATTTAGTGGAACTTAAAAAAATTTCCGATCGCTTCGCTCACTCATATCCCCACATTTTAATATTCAAATACTCATTAATACTTTTTTTTCAAACATGTTTAACCAATTTCATATAAATAAAAAAAAGATATATTTAATAATATTCATTGCCTAATCATTGTCACCAACATAAAAATAAAAATAATAGATAATATTATTAACTATTAAGTATACACCACATTAAACAATGTTAATAAAACCGGTCGTCGACGGTCTATGCAGTGGGAGAAATGAGACCACGAAACAACGGAGAGTTGCAAGCGACTTGCGATCTCTCACACCGGCGCGGCGGAGGCACATTTTTTTTTATAAATAGAACGGTTAAGCAACGAGTTTTGATAAGATGTAATACTGTAATAGATGTATTCAATACTTCAATAGGACAATAGGTTCTTATGAAAAACTCGCACCATTACAGCGCGTTTGCATCTTATATTTTATCGACGACGCGACGCGCGACGGCGCAGTTATATAACATTTTATACGGGCCAACCAAACATTTAAAAAAATAGGGCTGCCAATCTATAGTCTGAATCCCCCAAATGACGCCCCTGATGTTGAACCTATCATCAAATATGAGATACATAATAATAAAAATAATCAAATCAAAGTGAAATGTTCGATTTAATACACCAATTTGTAACCATACGAAATGTATGATTGAAACAATGATAACTCGCTTTAAACTGTATATTAGTTTCATAGTTTAAGAACCTTTAGAGTCAACATGTTATAGAAGGTAATAATAGTCAAACTTTGCCTAACTGAACAGATTCATACGTATAATGGTACTCAGTGAGTAAGTATACATTTCAAAATGGTGATAGTAGTTTACTTCACACTTAATAAATAAATAGAAAAATAATGTTGGAAAATCAACACATTTCCTTATTGTAAAACTTCATAAAAATAAAGACCATAAAACAAACATCTTTTACAAAATAAAACAGATTACGTACCTGGTGTACCTGGATTAAAATAAAAATTGTAGTCATTAATATTATACAATATTCACAATATTATAAGATCATAAATTCAACTAAAAATTACAGATATGTGATTGAAATCTAATAATTAGTGCCAACCTTTTTTTTTTTAAGAATTCTGAGAGTTGCATATAGGTAGATACTTAAAAAATACACATCAACTACTTAAGTTATGTTTAATTTGAGTTTATAATGTGTAAGATTCATCTAATAAATAACAAGGTAGAATAAAATAAAATAATTATTAAAAATAAAAATATCATACCATGAAAAGTATCGGCAGCTAGAAAAAAAAAATCCAGTGATAATTTGTAAGTATAATCATAAAGTATTCATAATATGTTATGATTACAGAAGCAAGTTTAGTTATTTATTTGAAAAGTCCTCAATAAATTTACAATATTTTTAGTAGGAGATCAACTTTATAATTTAATTGTGTTTGATAGAAATCAAAGAAAATCTGAATTTGATCTTCATTTAATCTATAATCTCATAATTTATCAATCAATTATTTAGAATAAATTATTTACTAATTCATTACTACTTTGTAATCGACACCTAAAACAATTACTCCATGTCGCAGGTACAACTGTTCAAGGGTATGCAGTTAAACTTATTTTGGAGCCGTGGAATTTTATCAATCATATCTTATCACTGTATTATACAATTCATATTTTAAATTTTGAAATCGGATTATGACTGATTAACATTTAGCAGTTTACAATGTTTGCAAAGAGGCGATTTTCAATATTCCGAATGTTATTAATGTCATAATACTCATAATGAATAATATAATTGAATCGTCATTTTACATCGGTTAACTACCCTGCCACCCTGCCTGTTTCCTAGATAATATAATTTTTCTATCTTATCCCTTCATTGATCGATTCGTTCACTATTTTATTGTTTTTGGAAATGAAGAAAATTATTAAATGCCCAATAAACCTAATACCTAAATAAGAACAGTTTATTCAGAACAACAAAATACAAATACTCTAGATTATTATTACAATTATAATTACGAATACTATGGCAACTATAGTAACTCAGTGCGCCATCTACCCGGTCGCCTGAACCGTTGGCTGAGCATAAAGTTTTTTTTAAACCCTCCTTAGAGATGTCTCACTTCAAAAACCAAAAAATCTAATATTTTTAGGCAACCGTCCACTATGCAAAGACACTCCAAAAATTAGTAAAGAATAAATAAAATATGTTTAAAGAATTTCTAATTAAAATAAGTATTTTGAATAAGTTAGGTTGGGTTAGGTTAACTTGACGTTAACTGTAAACTTTATCAGAATCAAAACGAAAAACTAAGTAAGGAAAATATAATTATATCTTACACAGTGCAGCTGACCTAATTATTAATTATACATCATACAGGAAAGGTCACACGCGCCTATAATTCATAGCTTTTATATACGAGTGCTCCAGTTTTTTAAATGTTCATTTTCTATGAGCTCCAATTGGTTAAAAAACAAATATCAAATAGGAAATACTGCTCATATAAATTTACTAAGAAATTTTCAAACAAAACTAAATTACAGAGATCAATAAAATAAAAAAACTCAATAAATGTTTCATACCATCACCTAGAAAATAAATTTTTAAATATTAATAATTAACCATAATATTATTTTCAAATCTCTTCTTTATTTTACTATGCAAATAGAACCTGTGGGTTTGGAAGTTTGTAAGTTTGTAACACTATTGTTGATAATTAGTCTCATGTTTTGATGTTATCGAATGGTTCTACTGAGTATTTCTTCGTATGTTGGTTTCTTGGTAGCTTTGAGAAAGACTGATTTAGTATCAGTATGTATCGTTAAATGTGGACCGTACAAGGTGGGTAAGTGGATGTCGCTCTGCTGCATAGTAGGTTACAAGTGGGTCACTGGTGTTAAAATTGAATTCATTGATATGAAAATATAAATTCATTGTATACGAAAAACGATTCTGAGAGAAAAGAGTTCTGACAGACAGTCTGCCAGCCTATAATATTACTCAGTAATTTAGTATATTTGATAAAATTAATGTAATTGATTATACTATTTTTGCCAAAAAATTACATTTGAAAAATCATGGTGTGTATACAATATTATAATATATTCTAAAAGTTTCAAGTAGGTACCCACCCACGAATAATATTTTGAAATTACAACAAAAGGCAATGCCAGAAGCAAAAAAAAAAACTCATCAATGTAAAATCGATTAGAATCTACAATGTTCGATTTAGCACCTTTTGCTTCAAAGCATATTAATTTTGCTAGGTAATATAAATTTAAAATTGCACATTATTAAAATTTTTAATCTATTAATTCAGTCAAACAACTTAATATTTACGTACAATAAGTCTCTAGACAAAAAGAAATATTATAATGTTATGGTAGCAAATATACGTTATAATAAATGATAACTATTAAGATTAATTTTGAATTATGGTGATTTAGAAATATTCAGTGGGAGATTATTTTTATAATATGGGATCGTATTGTTTTTGATCGAACTATAAGATTTGATTCCGATGGATACAATTACAGTTACAAGGATTTAACTAAACATTTTACAAATATGTCGTCGCAAACAGCGAGAGTTACATTTATCATACCTATTAAATATGGTATATGAAACGAAATCAAACAAATAAAAATTACTTTTTTAAAAAGTTAAAACAGCATGTGGATATTATGTACAACAGTATTAATTGATAATAATGAATAGAAAAATGAATTATTAGGACAAAATAAAATTATAATAAAATAATACTGTTCCAAAGTTTTAACGAGAACCTTAACTAATGAATCGTATTAATAATATTTTACTTTTATTATTTCTCCATCGGAAGATCATAATTTTACTTTATATGTAAAGCGTCAAAGAGTGTTTAATATTAAGCCCGTGGTCAACTGATATATTTATAATTAATTTTTATTTGATTGACCAATATTACACAAGAGATCGGTTGATTGGCTAATCGCGACCACTGATCTCAATTCTGTTTCAAGTAAGAAAGATCAAAAACAGTCACAAACACTTAGTGTTCTATCTAATTATCGATTTTCCATCCGGGGCACGGGCTTTCCAGAAAAAGTGAATGTAAAAATATAAGTACTTACTTATGTCCTCTGAAAAAATATGTTACATACGAAAGTCATTTTAAAGAAAATGTAAAGTTTTGCGTACATAATATCAATATGGCGTAAAATAAAAATGCTCATAACTCATTTAATAACTGAATTATTGTAAAAAACTCACATCCAAACACCGATAATGTTCTTACCGTCAAGTTTCTCAAGGGGTAGATTCACTCTAATTTTTAATCTAAAGAAGCTATATAGTGATCTGCCGAGCTTATTTTTGTCATGTTACGCACTTGTAAGATAGAGACAACAAATATGTCAAGTAATTTTTAATTATATTAAAGGACTCAAATTCAGAAAAGTTATAGGTACAATGAAAAACCCAACAATTACATACCCATAATTTGACCTAAATAAAAAAAAAACAAATAGGTTTATGAATTGAAAAAACCTTCATATTAATTTAAATAAAACTTATGAAGAGTATGAAAAAAATTATGGACATATTATATAAGTTATTTTATTAAAACAGTCTATTATAAAAAGTTAGAAGTAATATTCAGTTAATAATTAATATGATATTTTATTAGGTAAATTTGTATTGAAGTTGAGATAAAACTATAAACTATCATATTATTGCAATCAATTAAAAAATAAATGAATTAATAATTTACTTATTAACCATTTGTTTCTATCCCATGACTAAATAGATACACATAGACATATGTATTATTACAGCCATAATAGTTTTTTCCACTATGCACATTTCCTTCACCTCCGGCCAATGTCGTAGTTCTCCAATTTTGATTGGTTCATTTTTGTCCATGTTATACATGTATGTATATTGTATAATGTATATATGTTCGACAAACAATAAAAAGTGGAAAACTACGACAAGCCGGTATAGGTGAAGTAAAGAGTGGGTTATTCGGATCAAAAAACTGTGATGGTACCTTTTATTATGTAGATTATAGGTTAGGTAGTGTCATGTACTCACCTACCTAACTACCGAAGTAGGTACTATTAAGAAAAAGTCAAATTATATAACTCATAAATACTTACTTCTCTGATTGCCTTTAAAAACAAGTATAAACTTTAAATGAATGGGATAGTTTTTTGTGCACCTAACATTCTCTATTAGTGATTTTTTTGTACTAATTGTTTTAGATTTTGAGTGGAGTGAGAATGTATTTAATTTACAATGGTAGTTTTTTTTTTGTATGTTACCTTCCTTTTAGGACACTAAAAATACTTCAATTTTTAACTTTAGGGGTGGATTCGGTTCGAATATTGGATCTAGTTGGTACTCCTGGGGCCAATTTATTGTAAAATGTTCCCAGTATAGGAGAAAAAACAAAAACATCAAGGAAAAACGGGTAGGATAGAAGCTTAGGTATTGTTACAAAGTAGAAACTAATAGAAGTCAACTTTACATTTATAAATATCATTGTTAATCAATTTTTAGTCGATTTATCATAGTTCAATATAGGTAGAGATGTAAACTGTTACAGAAATGTAGAAAATTGCATTCTATAAACCAATTAATACAAATTCATAAACGTAAAAAAAAATGAAAACACGTACTTATTGTTCCTAAAAAATATTAATAATCAATAAATTACAATACCTAATTAATACTTAAATGCTTTTGTCTTACAAATTTATGAAATTGTTTGCATATATTAGGTACATATTGTTGATAAATATTTTAATATTTCAGTTCATAATTTAAATGTTGAAATAAATATAATTATTGTAACACATATATAACTGTTTCCATTTCATTCATTGTTACAATTTCAAAACGCTTTCTTAATATTATTAAATTTAAAAGTTGTGTGATACTTTTTTAATTATATATTAAATTATACATTATATATCCTACCTGTAATCGCCATATCTTGTGTTTTGTTATCTGCAATTTAATAACATTAATATTGTGCTAGAATAATACTACACAGAATTATTCAATGTAACTTTTGAGATGTAACTATCCCCCAACACATTTTTATAGTGTGTTATCTTAGTTCTTAGAGTTCATATTTTTAATAGGTTGTGGCACGCTATTGCTGCATGTACCGTTTCAAATAGCATACTATGCTAGCCGTGGAATGGCTGTGCGAAAAGGATAAAATTGGTATTCTAAAATAATGTTTTATTTGAAGTCAATATTACGAAAATACATGTACTTAAAACATATTTCTATTAAAAATTCAATTTATAGGTTACTATTTTATCAAAATATCCAAATATGTAACTTCAATTTACTTTTAAGAAGATACACACATTAATGATTATAATTATTCCGAATACAATTTTTTTTAAACAAGTAAATAAAATACAATTACTTTTCTGTTACCTAATTATAATTAACTTACTCTGAAATCCAAGTATAACTAGAAAATCTATTAAATTTTAAAATTATAGAAAGCTTTAGTTGAGTAACATAAAGAGTTGATTAATCTTATGATTCATTTATCTCTAATGAACCAATTATGGGCCACTAAATCTTATTTTGAGGACCAAAATCTTAGTATTTATTAAATACATAGCGATGGTTGTATAACTCGGTATTGGTCTAACAAACTAGCGGTGAAAGCTCGTGTTTTTATACCAAAACAAAAAAAAAACATAAATTATAATAATACATTTAAATACCTGTTGAGTTATTATGTTAAGATTATGTTTCAAAATATAAAAATATAGAAATTCTGAATAAAAGAAACAGCCAGGTGGTTGTTCACTCCGGAGGTATCGGTATGTATAGTAGTGTAGCCGTGCACTCCTGCACACAATCGCAGTGCACATTTATATAATGTAAAAATTAAAACAAGTCAAAACACGTAATCTGTTTTATAACGGAATTTATGTGCACATGACCAATTTAATTGTTTTCAGAGAATTTTTTTCGCCGTCGCTATTCAGGATTATAATTTATTTTTACTCCATTTCCACACTGTTTTATTCCGATTTTCAGCTGATAATGTTCGTTATCAATCATTTAATAAAATTTATTATAGATTACATTATACCTATATTATATTGTATAATATTGGTTACACTTTTTTTGATGTGAACTACTTCAAAAAAAACCCACGAGCCGCAACTGCAAGCTAGTATATTTTAATGATTATTTTAAAGTTATTTTATAACACAAACGATAACTTGTTATAGGTTAGATAATATTATCAACCAACAAATGTTAGAAAAAATATTAAAAGATATTTCAATTGTTTTTCTGTTTTGTGAATTTATTCCGTCATCGAGGCTCATGCCTATAAATATATTTATACCTATAGAAATAAGCGTAATCTCAAAAACCATTACACAATAAAAAAAAAAGAATCCAGAATACATTTTACTGATAGTCTTTTCTAAACGCTTTTTTTAAAACCTATGGCTGTATATAAAAAACAACATACGTTTTTACATACTTTTATACAACTTTTACATTATTTTAATAAAACCAATTAGTTATTATTTGTAAAATATTAAAAATTGATTTAAGGTAACTCAGGTAATGTAATAGATTAATACCTAGTTTATGAGTAAAGACCGGATTTTGCATATAATGCATGTTCATATTTTTATAAGCAATTACATGCAGTAAATGGGTTTTCATCTATCATTCTTAAAGAAATAATATTACAAATTTTTATTTTGCATATTTTGGGTACAAGTGCATATTTTACATAAAACGCATGTTTTTGCATAATACGTATACACCAGGTATAAATTAAATTAAATTAAATTTTATAATTGTATGTACGATTATTATGTATAAATTTGTCCGCAATACAAAAATTAACCATTACCACCTCAACCTATAATAACACGATGGGGTGCTTGTTTAGAATCGGCAATATTTTTTGCAGATAATTTTGAAAATGTTAAAAATGTTATTCAAAACCTACAAGAGGATGGTGTCAAAAGCATTCAAAACTGTAAACATATTCTAACTAAATCAAATATAATTAACGATTTAACTGATATTAAAACAAATTTATCGATTATTGTTGAAAGCATTAAAAATCTTGAGACTTCAGGTTTGTTACTCATAGATGCTTTACACATTTTTGAACAAGTTACGAATTCTATTATTAATCTTGCTGAAAATGATAATAGCGTATTAATAAAAAAAAAAATGTTCCGAAATTATTAATAAAAATAAAGGCTTGCTAATTTTAAAAGAAATTGCTAAAATACACCTAGGTTAGACTGTTGACTGATAGAGTTGCTCCATCAAACATTGTTTTGCATTCTTTTTTCTTGCATATTTCGACTTTTTTTAGTGCATGTTTGCATGCATATTTTACAATTTAAAATACATATAAATCCGGTCTTTATTTATGAGTATTACAACTTGACATTAACATGGAAATCGAAGTCAATCAAAAAATAGACAAGGAATTTATTACTTCCGTGAAATATGCAAATTCTTCATTTGCCTCACAAATAATTTAGGAATATACAATACATTTATCAACCACTGAATTTTTTTTATAATACTTCTTATCATAAATAATCTAAAGTACCATTTGTTTGCTAAAATGTATTAAAAATATTACCAATGCAATTGCCTGAAAATAACAAAAAATACATTTTTTTTAGTCCGTTGTGTCTATTTAATACAATTACCGTATCAAAATGTTCACATAATAATAGATTCTCAGAAAATATAAAATTCTATCCAAATATTTCGTAAATAACATTCGAATTTTAAATAACTATTTTAATTATACGACCAAAATTAATGTAGAAAAAAATATTATTAATAGTATTGTAAAAAATATTAATTCATTGTTGTATGAATAAAGCAAAATAAAATTGTTGCGAAATGTCAATTATATGAAAAAAGTTATCACATTCCAAATAATTTATGAATATACTTCAGCTAGATATGCCTGGTACCTGTTGGAATTAGTTTGTACAAAATTGACTTACAGAATAAGTTTTATTTTTTTTCTCAAAAATATCAATTTTTAAAAAAAATTATTCGTATAACATTTGTTTACCCCACATCATAATATTGTATGCAATTAAAATATGATAAATGATATTTATTTTTAATCTGCTGCTATAAAACCTTAGTAATTATAATTGTTATAATTGATTTATATTTACTAAATATGATTCTCTTAGTAGCTTCATTATAATTAGTAGCTGAACTTGAACTACAATTTAAAAAAATTATAATTGCAATCGTTATTAAATTATGCTTTAAAGAAAACATTTTGATTTAATATAAGAATATAAGAAAACTAATGTGAGCGTTGAACAACACAATAAATAAAATAACACTACTCGATCTCTTTTATAAGCGATCTACAAGGAGTAGATGTCCACAGCACAAAATAAATAATGTTCAAAATAAGTTGTTTATTTAGTAAAACAAGTATAACAAAACAAGAGAACACAATATTATTCTCCACATGTCAGTGAACGCGATTTCAATTTTGAACACTTGAGTAAATAGTGTGTATTAGGAGTGACGACATTTTTTTCTTTCTTTCAATATTTCGGTATGATATTTTATACTGGTATGAGTCGGTATACCTAAAGATCGTTCTACCGGTATTTTGGTTCGGTATACTCGATATTTCGATATAATCGATATTCCGGTATTTTCAATATTTTTGTTATATAATAGATTATAATTATGATTTAATTTATTGAATTAATAAAAAAATAAGATCACTAATTCATATTTAAATATTTTACTTTATTATTTTGAAAAAAATTTTGAATTCATAGATAAAAATATAAGTTCTCTAGTGTGTTCGGTTGAAAGAGATGATGTATGATCGGTTAAAATGTTGCCAGCACAACTGAACACAAGTTCGCTTGGAACACTAGTACCCTGCAGTATGGCTGTATACATAAATACTTTTTATCAAGCAAAGTCAAAGTTGGAAATTAATTTTAATACACTTTCCAGCACTTTATAGGGTCCGAATCTAATCTTTGTACAATTTAAAAATAGATTAAAATATTACATAACTATTTTTGGTGTAATCGATATTCCGGTATTTCGGGAATTTGATATTTTCGATATTTTCGGTATTTTAGATACTTTCAATGTACCGTATTTTTTTTAAACTTCAAATCGATATACCGGTATTACCGTTACCCTTAATGTGTATTACACATTAAATATTTGAATCTTATGCATATTACCACAATGGCTTGAGGCGAAAGAGTTTCAAAGTAATATCTATAGAATTAATTATAAAGGTTAGGATGTTGGGTCACCATTTAAAGAATATAAAAACACAGGACTGTAGTTACCACCTGTCTCCCCACTAGGGGGAGGGGGTTAGTAGGGGTCCAACCGTCCAAACAAAAAATCGGAATCAGCCCACGTTCCACAAAAACTGTTATCTGTTATTTATAACTTTCGTTACATCTTTCCTAACGACTAATAAGTAGGTAGGTATAGGTACATTATTAATGACATGTTCGCTTCGTGTCAAAATTTGTATGTTGTATCCCTTCATTACTAAAAAATCTAAACCCCTTTCTGAAATTATCATTTAAATTTCATTTATCATTTTGAAAAATAAAAATAAAATGTTAACACTGCGAAAAACATTGACTGATACAGCTAAAACACGAACATGATGAACACAACTGACAGTAAATAGATATAGGTAAATAATGAGCTATAGTACCTATAGGTATATTCATACATGTGATGGAATTTACAATAAATATAAAAGATCCATTATAAAAGTATGATCAAACATTTAACCAATTATTTCTTAGTGATGGGAGTTTGGCCCTTCTAATTCACCTGATTTATATTTCTCCAGACTTTTCGACATGACTAATAGTAAATCGTTTCTGTCAATCATAGAGAATTCTCGATTGAACCGTTAAGACTTGTTCCCTGGTCATCGAACTGTTTTCGTCCATTTTTAGAATTTATGTAAGTATATTACATTTGATTATGTTTGTTAGTTTTTTAAATTTTTTTTGACTTCTTTTCTTTTTATTCTCTGTAAGAGTGTAAACATACACATATTGTTTACTTATTTGACTAGATTAATTAACTCATTACTATAATATTTACTATATTAGTCATTATCATTATATTATTATAAAATTCTTTTTTTTTTGTTCACTATTTACTTTTTGTATTTTCTTTTCTTTTATAATATATTTTAGCTTAGTGACGGTGTAAATGTTGTGTCCTCGAAAGCTTTTACATAGTCGGCTGTTCAGTGTTCTATATTTAATTAATCTCATGGTATACCTATAACTTATCAGTTCTTTTTGCATTGAAATTTTATTACCACGTATAATGTATATAGCTATTATCAATAAGATAGATAGCGTTGCTAATACTATTGTAGCATATAATATGCAGGAATGAACAAATTGATGTTTCTGATTTTGCTTCCTCAGTACCTCATTGTTAATCATTTGTGGCACCTCGTCAAGAGACTTAGATAGGTACACCTCGTAAATCTGTTAGCTGCATATTCGGATTATTATTCCACTCATTATTCATTACTATACATTTGAAACTGTGTACATTATCTGGTATTTTACTTAACATGCTATTCATATTGATTGTGGGAATAAAATCTTTGTAATTTGAATTTGAAATTTCGTCTGTAGTAGTTAATAGAGCATCCCGTGTAAATATTTTACAATTATTATTTATTATAGTTATGTCTCTTCTTACGTCTTATTTCTTTTAGGTTTAATCAAACCATGATTGATGTTCATTATTTCCCTGCATACCTAGGTTATTATGATCTACATATTCTATAATTATATTTCCGTCTCCACACATTAGCTTGATTGTTTTCCTGACTATTCATCATGTGTAAAATATTACGGAATATTAAATGAACGGAACGGGGGTTAAAAAGAAACTAAAAATACATTTATATATTGTGTATAACATTTGAAAATGTATTATAAAAAAATTAAATATTTATTTTAAATTAATATGAATTTTGATGTTGAGATACCAAAAACATAATCACCTTATCGCAATTACGTAAGACACACTTTGGTTGTTCTGTTATACCTATTTTATACATAGGTTAGTAGTTTTGAATTTTTTTTATCCATTCAATGAGTTCTATTTGGGCCGCATATAAACTATAAGCGGGCCTCAGATTGAGTATGGCTGCCCATGACATTTTGAACTGCATAAAATGTCAAAATTTCTACAACCACACTTTTTTGTGGTGCACTTTGTTTTGCAAGTACATCGTGTACACCATTGCCCACCGGTTGATGAATTTGATGCAGAAGCTTGCCTTATAGAAATTTGTTGATTCATTTGAACATCAGTGATTGATATTAAATTTTCTTTACATTATGAAAACTGGTTTCTGGTGTATAATTGATTTATAACACCATTTTTGGTAGCTAATTTATAATAATCATTATCGACGTTATCTACTACATCTAATACCACAGCTAAAATATTTCTGGGATCCATTTTACTACGAACAACATCTGGAACTCCGGCTTGTAGGTACTTGGAGACTTCTGATTGCTACTTTTCTAGATAAAAAAAATGAATATACATAAAAAGTATAAATGAGTATAATAATAATAATAAAGCCAAGTATAAAAAAAAGAGTTATATAAATAAAAAAAAAATTAACATGAAAAAATTAGTATACAGTAGAGTTTAATATTAATACAAGTTACGTTTATTTAAGACAAAAGAAATCGATCGAAGGATTAAAAACCATCATAGGTACCACCTATATATGGATATAAAGAAGATGAAATTCAATCGATATGTATTTGTTGACATATATCAAAAGCTAAAAAAAGGATTAAAGAACCTTTCAAAATAAACGATTAAATAAAAGAACCAGCAATATTTAGGGAAGGTATGTTGTTAATGACTTAATGCTATATATGAACAAAATGTATAAATATTCATTTCTGAGATATTGAATAATATTGTTGATTGTTATTTATTATGTAAAACTTTTGGAATCGTGAATTCCTTTCTATTGATTTTTAATTTTTTCAAACACCCTTGTGCCCCTAAATTTTGTCATACATTCCAAATTAGAAACCAAATTTATAAATAACAGATAACACTTCTCGTGAACAATGTCGACGAAAAGTAAAATTAGCGACATGCATGGGACATATTGTATGGCATTATATGTCGTTCTACGACTCTACGAGCTTAAATATAATACGAGTATGTAATAAAATATTATTCATAATTTTGTAGTCAATGGTATCAGATATTATAGTTGTATTGATTCGATTATTATTATTATTGGTTTTTTTTTAAATATTATTATAGAAATTTAACATTGTGTTGTTGAATAAATAATTAAAATATAAATATTCCTTAACATTTACACACTTTTATTATTTAGGTTATTTACTCAAAAAAGGTGTAGTAAGAAAATAATTGTTTGTGATATGACTCAGATTTGTATTTTTACTCAACAGTTGTGTGCAAATGTGTAATGTATACGGAAAGGTTTTTCTTTAGAGGGGGGGGGGGGGGGTTATAAATGGTCTGTTTTTTTTTCTTAATGTGGTCACCCTAAAATATATAATAACTAGATAATGTAATTACACTTATAGCTATGAATAATCTAATAATAACGATATGGTAACGTTAATTGTTAAAATACAATGAGAGTGAAGGCTTTTGAATATTTTATATTGTTTTTAGTGAAAATGATAGGGAGATAAGGCGAATGAAAAAGATAGCAAGATGATTTAAGTTAATAATAAAAAATAATTGATCAAATTGGTATACTGAATGCTGAGATATTTTATTTAGATCAATTGAATCTGTTTTTATTTATAAGAATAATAATTAATAGAGCTCTGTTGTTAATGACCAAAATGTCATTAAAATATGTTTTTAAAATTTTAAAATATGCAAATCTATATACCTTTAAATATATCATTTGTACTTTTTTTTGCAACAAATGTATGCAAAAAAATATACTCAAAAAATGTATTAATATTAATTCAAAATAAATTACAAACAATAATAAATCTGCACTAAATATTATATCTACATTAAAAAATTGGATAGTATAAATCAGAATAATTTTTGTTTTGTTAACAATTTTAAAATAGGTAACTTAATTGCTAAATACATAATAGAAATAAAATAGTATAAATATAAATATATAAACTAAAATATAAAGTGTAAAGTCGTAAAGACGTTTCTTTAATAATCCTAGAGAGGAAAAATTAGAACAATTATTATTGATGTAAGAAATTGGTGATATCACAACCAAAACCAATTCTCGCCAAGTAAATTAATTA